CAGCGCGGTCCGAGCGGGCCATCGAGGAAGGGCCTGGACGGCCTTCTTGGTCTCGGCAAATTCGGCGTCGGTCGCGAGCGGGCGGACCGTCTGCAGGTAGAGCGCGCAGGTGGCCTCGAGCGTGGGCACGGGCAGGTTCGGCAGCTTCTTCTGGTGCTGGTACAGCGCCTGCGTCGGGACCTCGAGGTCCTCTTCGTTGCGGTAGTCGCCCCAGCACTCGCGGACGCCGTTCGGGTAGCTGCTCATCCTGCGGCTTGTTGACGAATCCAAAAATACGCTCCCGGCCGAGGATTTTCGAACCTGGTTTTTGATTGGCTAAAATTACGTGACATTGCCACGCGTGAGGCGCGATCGTCACGCGCGCAGATTGAACTTGGGATCTTGGTTGTTGATGCATCCTGCCCAGCCCCACTGCCACGTCATGGCCGAGCCAATGTGGGCGAGCGCAGCGCGATTGCTCCATCTCGAGCCTCGACAAGACACATGAGAGACTTGCAGAGGGCGAGGCTGACACAGCGATCGACGATGTAGGAAGCCGCCAACTCGGTCGAGTGCGTCGCGCGCTAGACCACAACGGAAGCGAAGGGAAGCATGACGTCGTTCAGACATGCGCCGTGAGACTCGTGGGCGAAACGAATCAGGGGTGGGCGTCTCAAGTGTCGCCCGCGCGGTTGTCTGCGCGCCTTTCAGCGGCCAAGGGCGGGCTTGTTGGAGTGCGTGCCCTCTCCACTCTGTCGACAGGGCGCGGACCGTCGAATGCGCCTATTACGACCCCCGTTTCCAACCAAATACGGACGTGGCGTCGCCTGGAGGGTAGCATGTCCACATGTGTGGTCTTTAGTACAGGGCCAGAGAGCCTGCGTAGGACTTTGGCAGACTCATCCTAGCTCTACAAGGTCCTGCTTCTATCAACGCTTGCAGGACAGAAGCACACCCCAGCAGCAGTTCTCTAAACCCCGTAATTTTCCAGTATATTCACATACCATCAGTGGGACGTTTGGTTCTCGGACTCCAGCCTCTACGATGGTCGTGATGCGCTCCGTTTTTGCCGTCCAGTGGTCGCGCGGCGCGTGCATGCGCAGCACAGCTGGCATGGCTTGTCTTGGCTGGCGCACTTTTCGCACAAAGACGCACGCGACTCGGTCGAACGGGTCGTGCTCGCACCAAAGCTGTCGTCGTGGACTGGCGACGCCGTATTTTGAAGCTCGAGTTGCAGCGGGTTCGACCGAATGATGTTGAGAACCTGGCCGCACGCCTTCCAGTTGCCAAAGTTGAAGGTATTGCGCAGCGGGCGGTGCAGATACGCTTCAAAGGTGGTGCACGAATCGCAGCAATGTGTATAGCAGCGCGTAGTCGGTGAGTCGCGCGTTGTCATGAGCGACTGCATCCAAATACACGTGCTTGTAATCTATTTGTTTAGGCCGGCATCGCGACGGGCAGCTTGATCACAACGTCGCCAATCGAACGGGACTCAACGGTGCCAAGCCATTTCGGGGTGAAAGCTTGGAGGTTGCCGCGATTATAGGTGTCGCAAAGTACGAGAGCGCAGCGTTCTGCTCCGGCAAGGGCACGTGGTCAATGCCGTTGAAGATACGCATGGCGGCGTTATTGGCGGCCGTACGCAGCAGCGCGCGAGGGCTATGGCAAACTATTCTCCGAGACCAAGTGCGGCTACAGCTGCGCAGAACGGTAGATAGGTGTGGCGAGGGCCAACCGCCGATCCGCCGAAAGACGGTTCAGCACGACGACCAGTTTTTGGTTGGTCACGGCAATCGCCTTGAGTGATGCGATTGCAATCGTGTCCAAGATGTGGTCGATGGTGTCAAGGTCGCCGTGAAGAAAAACGTGGAGAATAGAACCAATGTACACGTCCTTGTCGACGTGGTCGGCACTGCCAGGGCGCAATGTCGCTGCAAAGCCCGGTGGCAACTCTGGGGGCCGAAGGGAAGAAAATTGAGTCTGCGCGCGAAGTACACTACGAAGCATGATGCGAAATTCCTCGAGCAAGACCGAACTGCACTTGGGGGCAACAACCGTGTTGGTGTCCGCCACGCCAGTGGTGGGCGAGGCGGGTTGGCTATTTGACTAACACTACACATTTGGAAATGGCTTAAACGTTGCTCTGCGCCTCGATCTTTGATCTTGTAACGTATGGGCTTCGAGATCTTAATGCACTGGATCGCTCAACCTAGCGCGGAAGCCCTGACCTGTGCCACCCAAGTCCTTTTACGTCCCAAAACGCCAGGGAGCCGTTGGCCTGGTCGATATGCATGGTCAAAAACATAACAGGTCCCGTGCGCCATGGTACTAGGCGTCCTTGCCATGACGGTCGTCTCCGCGCCCTTTCGCTGTCCGAAGATTCAACGGTACATACTCTATTAGGTGCGGTTGCGAGGAAGTGCGTAATGTACCCCTGATAAATGCGTCGTACTGAACTATTACCAAATCGAGTATAATGCTCATCATCTGACAGCACTTCAAAGGGACTACTAAATCGCACTTAATAAAGCATGCTCCGCGCGATGCGATTGGCTGAGACCAATACAGCTGCGCTTCATTTGACCATAAGTATGGAATTATAGCCAATAGGTTTGCCGGATTGAGACATGATACACCGAATGAATCCGCTGGGAGCACTGGGAGGCTGGCACACCACGTAAACGTTCCTACCAGGAAAAGGTCCTCCAACACAATCGCGACAGTCACAACGCCGTGCGCGAAAGTAGCTGCTGTGGCATTTTCGCGCTCGACCCAGCAGCTCATCCAGCCCACTTGCCCAGCAGCAGCAGCAGCCCGTGTGACGGTCACATAGCCTCCTGCGATCGGTCACAGAAACATCTTGGAAATGGCGCCACGAACTGTGATTGGGCGAAAGTCACATCATCACTGATTCTGCTATAACGGTAGATTACAAGCCGGTCGCATGTCGGAGCGTCGCCCGTCACCTCGTCCGTCCATGTCGCCGCCGGCCGACGTCATGCACCTCATCCTTCAGTTCATAGCTGACACGTCGACGGCCTTCGCACTCCTTGCGGCGCTGCCCCGCGCGCTCTGCAGCCCACCGATGCAGAGCCTTGCAGAGCTCGCCCGCCGTGTACCCCGTGCCGGCTGTGGCCCATCTTGGATCTGCCAGCGATCGCCACCGAGACGCACGGAGCACGTTCAGCGCGCGTGGCAGCTCGTTGG